ACTTATATTCTTACCAGAAAACAATTAAATTAGTAAATTTACTAAATTTAAAGTACTAGATAACTTTTCCAGGTAATACAACTTTTCTGTACACTCATATTCAAAAGCTGTGCGATAAGATATATATTTTTTTTTTCAAAGAGGGGTTCCCCAGCTACACTTGTTTTGTTTGACACTCTTGCTTACAGGTGCCCCCAGCAGAGTCTTTCAGACACAGCATCACTTTCTTTTTAATGTGAACCCTTTTTTTTCATAGCCATTACATTAAGACTCATGTTATGTTACTTTCAGATTGTTCTGCTGTTATTAGTGGCTTTCTATTGTGTGAAACCAGATTAGCAAAGAGAAGAGGGCAGAAATTATTTATATTTCAATTACAACCTTTTTCAGACAACCCTTGAACAGGTAGGTAAATACTGTGTTTTACTGCAAATTACTACATTCATACTCAAATAACATTTATATATTTCTAATGTGCCACTTCTACTGTTTGTGCAGAGTCAGAAATAAAAATAATTTAATCTCGCTTAATTTTCCGAGACTGCAGTTTTCAATGATGTGAATTGTGAAGAAAGACTTAGTCTGCAGAATACAGTATTCATGCCTGGGCATGGTAGGTACATAGGAAATACAGCGTATAGAGACTGTCTTCAGCATCATTTGAATAGCACTGCGTCATTTACTGGATTTTGCCACAATTGGAATCCGGGAAGAAGGCAGCAAAAGAACATTACCCAAAGAAAAAAAAAAAGCTGAAAATAAACTTTTTTTTTGTGGTTAAATAACCAGCCAGTTGGAATTGAGGCACTGTTTTCTTAGGGTGGTAGAACAGTTGGAAAAGATGTTGGATTTTTTTTGGCAGTGGCCTGCCTATTACAGCTCTATCATTACTGTTACTAAAATGACAGAGTACATTGAAAGGGTTATTATTTTAATAACACATTCTTGCAAAATCTTTTGTTTTTAGAGTTTTCTTCAACTCTTCTGATACATTTAGGCCATTGTGACTATCTGAACTCTGATATACTCAAAATGTAGGCACAGCAGAACATGAGCCATGATCTACAGCCAGCCATAAATCATGATAGAAGTGGTGCACAAAACAATATAATGAGTGTATAATGGCTAAACTCCTATGTCCTGCACTGCTTGAAAAAGGGCATGGAAAATTTCAGTTAGTTTTCCAGTTAGGTGGCTTGGTATTGGGATCTCGGCAACAAAGCCAAAGCGAGTGGCCACGTTTACTGTCAGCCAACTCTCCTGTAGACAGAAAAGGTGCATGTGTAAAATGAATCTGTTTTAAAAATACTTGAATATTCCTTATGTATTTAGTGTTAACAGCATTTTCTTCTGGCTGCCCAGAAAGGCTGTGGAATCTCCATCCTTGGAAGTACTCAGAACCCAATTGGACACGGTCCTGCACAACGTGCTCTAGCTGATTGTGCTTGAGCAGCGGGGCTGGACCAGGCAATCTCCAGAGGTCCCTTCCAACCCCAGCTAGGAATCACTATTCTGGGCTTCTTAACACTTGAACCTGCATGCGGAATTCAGCAGCACCCTTGGCAGTACAGGAGTACCTTACACAGCCCTTATTCCCCTTATTAAAAGCAACAGATCAACTACTTAAATATTTAAGATACATGAAATACTATTTCCATCACTTTCATGAGCTCCTATGCTTTGCTGAGAATGCGCCAGGAGAGTGCACTGTTTGAAATTCTGTGATGGAAAACGGATATGGGGCTGTGGACAGTGCTGTGCAGACCAACCTGGACAATCAAGAGAGCCTCTGTTTTACAACAGCTGCATTTTCTGGCACACAAATTACAGGGTCTTAACTTTTAGCCCAGCTCGCTCCGCCGATGAAGATGATGGAGATCTGATCGCTGGTTTACTTGTCCTTAGTGTACAAACTGGCCTCCAACGGGGACAGAGGGCAGTAGTGCTTCCCTGCACTAGGGATAAGGGATATGGATTATTAACCATGGTCTGAAAGGTGCTAAATATGACAGCTCACTGTCTTACAAAGATGCTGCATGCAAAAGGCCGGGAGAATTGCAATTTAGACAACTGTACCACAACCATGAAAGAGGTACAGCTGAGAAAGTCAATCGGGTGAATTTGTCCCACACAGGAGGTTCCATCTCCATGTGAGGATGAACCATCCCATGAGGGTGCCCGAGCCTGGCAGAGAGGCTGTGGAGTCTCCTCTGGAGATCTTCCAACCCGCCTGGATGCCACCCTGTGCCCCTGCTCTGGGTGTCCCTGCTGGAGCAGAGCTTGGACTAGGTGATCCCTAGAGGTCCCTGCCAACCTCAACCATTCTGCGATTCCGTAGCTCCGCGGTTCTGTGTCCCTGGACTCCTGCCATCAAATGGAGAAAGGTAATGAAAACGCTTTAGTTGCTGGTGATTACTGAAATCCAACCTTCCCCTTGCAGCGGGACGCAGAGGAAGCAGCCCGGCCCGGCCCGATGGCATGCTGCTGCCCGCCGCAGCCCGGCGCCCGCTCCGAGTAGACCCCGCGCTGCGGAGAGCTTCTGCGCGCCGCCCGCTGAGGTAAGCGCGGACAACCCCGCTGCCGCCGCGCGCTGAGGGGTCACCGGGACCCCGCGGTCTCCACAGCCACACCAGAGGGGTTCAATGCGGCCTCCACAACCACACCAGAGGGGTTCAGTGCTCCAACGCTTTAAATAAAGTGCTAGGACATGATGAGGCTCCTCAGAACAACCTGGGAGTATGTGTGCCTTTGTCAGCAGTCCACAGTTCTCAAAGGCCCTTTTTTCATATGTTAAGGGTTTTTTTGTTTGTTTTTTTACCCTCATCAAGGCTAGGCCACTTTGAATCTGTTAAAATCTGTTTTCCGCTAATTTCCTGATTGATGAAAAGATTCAATTTTCACAGTATCTAGCTTCAGGAAAACTACCAGCTATCACAAACACATTTTCTCTGTGTTTGGGCCACACTGACTGCAGAACACTTCACCATAAGGAGAGGAAACACAAAGTTTAAAAAAAAAATTTAAATTAAAAGCTCAAAAAAACACATGAGAGCTCTCTGATTTTTCTGTTAAGAGCTTCAAAGCAATATCTTTGGATACACAACATAAGAAGCTCTGAGAAGGAAGATAAAGGCAGCTGCATTGTAGAGCGGGAAGTTTTCACAGCAAAAAAATCAGAAAACAGCCCTTTACTAGCATCAGTATATTTCTTTCCTATAGAAGGAAGTATAAACGAAGGGTTTATGTGTAAATACAATATGTTGAGACTGCTATGAGCATGTCTAAATTGTGCCTGGATTTAGTTCTGAAAACTTTTTCCAATAACATTTCTGCTGGAAAAAAAAAGCTAACTCTTTAGAGATGTAATGAGCCATCTGATTTTAATTTTGTTGTAAAGACTGGGTTACTCGTTGCTTGTGCGTAGCCAAGTTATTGAGCTCCGCTCAACTCCGCTTCCTTATACAGATGACGATGGCTGCTCAAACAAAGGCAGCATGTGAGAAAGCAGCAACTCTCAACCACAATTTAAGTAAAAGTCTCTTTGGGACAGCAGGCATTTGCTCTGCAATTGAGAGCTGACTCTTCTCGTTATCATTTGTCCCCAATTCTTCCAGTCCAGCCTGTACAACTGCTTGTACATTAGCAATTGTAGAACTGCTAATGTGTCTTTTGGCCTTTCTTTCCCCTTGCTTCAGGGATTGCAGCATCCTTACCCTCTTCAGTCACTCCCTCTATTTGGCATCATCTGCTAATTTCTTAAATGCTCACCCAGCCCTGCAAAAACACAGCTGTTTACTTCATTTCAGCTCTTGAGATAACTCTGCTCACACAAGATCCTATGGGACAGCTTAGGGTTCTGCACTTTATACGGGACTACGCTCTAGCAAAGCCAAAGCCCTTGCGAGTGCTTCAGTGCTGAAAGGCAGAGCTTTATACAACAACTGACCCTCTTATAGAAAACAATTTTAAGCCATGCTGGGAAGTCACACAGGAGCTGCAGAGGCCAGTTCCGCTCCTACAAAACCCTGTTTGTCCAGTCTCCGCGCGGCCGCCTGCCTGCTGGCCGGACACGGCGAAATCCAGGGCCAGCTGAGACATGTCAGGCAAAACAACACACTGAGACGGGGAGGAGCCTCGCTTGATAGTTTTTGTTCTGTTTATACCCTGTCTCTGCTTATAAATTCTCCACAGAGGAAATGTAATGTCTGCCCTTAACTGCAATTTCAGAGCATTTTTTGAATGTCTCTTATTCCCAGGATGCCGGCTGCTGATTTGTTACCTAACATGCGGCTGAATTAGTCAACATACAGCGGTTACCTAACAAGGTATTACCGCTGCTGGACTTCTGGCATGTTGTCTTTAGAGATGTTTTAGACCTTCGTCTAACATTTTTCCACACCCAAGCAGATGTGCGTGTTCTCCAGACCAAAGGAAGGCGAGCGTATGCCTTGGATCTGCTGTACAGTGACATTTGTGGAACTTCTTGATCACGGAACGCTGAAAAGGGGATATTGCCCTACACACAATACCCAGGACTATGGCTACAGTGGTTTTATATATGCTAGACCTAAGACACTAACCCAGCAGTAGTCTGTAGCCCATGGTGCTCCTATGTAATACACATATTTGTCCCAATAGACAGCCTGAACTTGGAAAAATCCCATCTGCCCTTGTGACCCCTGATGCCAGGGCTCTTCTGGGAAGGAGCCTGCATATTTTTTTTTTATCTGCCCAAAATCGGCCATGTGGTGCTTCCTTAAAGAGCAGAGGAGGTTGCTGGAGGCTGCTGGGCCAGCCAGAGTGCTAGGGCCTGTCCACACGGCAGGTAAGTGATCAGGATTGGCAGGATTCACTGGGGTTCTCCTTTTCCAACAGTGCCAGCTTGGTGGCCCTCATCCTAGCCCCAAGAACACCCCTGAAGGCGAATGGGCAGCAAATTTAGTCACGGGATTGCTCCTATTCTCCAGCCTCAACACAGCATTTGCAGCCAAGACACCCGAACCTCAGCAGCCCTGGCCGAAAAGGTTGCTGCAAAAACTGCTGGAGATTCGATTCCTGAGAACATGCTGTCGCCATATGGTCTCCACATTAATAACACCAAACAAGTGCTTCATAAACAGTGTTCTAATAACAAATACCAAAGGAATTAATAATAATCTAGCTATTATTCTCTAATGTTCTCACTTTATTAAGAACATTTATTCTGTTCAAATGAGCTCTTCTGGAGGAACAACATCTGGCACCCACATGAATACCTGATGACATCTGTATGATCTGGGTATCTCACAAAGTTATTGTCAGCAACATCTGTTTGTGCCAGCACGGCTTACAGTAAAACTATGTTTTTCTTTTGTTCTAGGTGCATAGCGTAATGTCCATGCTGTACTACACTCTGATTATAGCTTTTTTGATCGGCACACAGGCAGCTCCAAAGGCTGACAATGCACCTCTGGGGTATCCTACCGAGCCCTCCCTGTCCAAAACCCACCGGACTAACGGACACCACGTTCCCAAGACAGCTCCGCCGCCATCCCACAGCCGTTCGACTTGGACGATAGATAGGAGGGAAGCTGTAAATATCACTGTGGACCCAAAGCTGTTCAGGAAGAGGCGCTTCCGATCCCCTCGGGTGCTGTTCAGCACGCAGCCCCCGCCCGTGTCGGAGCAGGGGGAGCACGCGGAATTTCTTGGCAATGGCGGCTCCCTCAACAGGACTGCCCGCACCAAGAGGACCGCGCACCCTGTCCTGCACCGCGGAGAGTTCTCCGTATGCGACAGCGTCAGCATGTGGGTTGGGGACAAAACCACAGCCACGGACATCAAAGGCAAAGAGGTGACGGTGCTGGGAGAGGTCAACATTAACAACAACGTTTTCAAGCAGTACTTTTTCGAGACCAAGTGTAGGGAGCCCAAGCCCGTGTCCAGCGGGTGCCGAGGCATCGACGCCAAGCACTGGAACTCCTACTGCACCACGACGCACACGTTCGTCAAGGCGCTCACCATGGAGGGCAAGCAGGCGGCCTGGCGCTTCATCCGCATCGACACGGCCTGCGTGTGCGTGCTCAGCAGGAAGGGCGCCCGGGCGCAGAGCACCCTCCTACCCCCCTACCTCAGCCTGTAAATTATTTTAAGTTATAAAGGACTGCATGGTGTATTTATAGTTTATACAGTACACACAGAACCTCATTATTTATTAAACTCTTTTGCAAACCTTGGGTGTGTTTTGCAATTTGTTGCTGAACTTTGGAAGATGCTCACCTTAGTCCCATTCAGCCATAAAAAATCCACAAATATATTCTTTTATGTCCAGCAAATAAACTTAGTTTAGCATCCTATGAAAAGGAAACATTTTTCAGCTTTCATATGCATTCCTGTCTTCCATCACAACAGAATTATCATCACGAAACCCACAGGATTACCATGATTTTCTTCTCAGTTTGTTTGAATTATTTTTTCAACTCCCAAGAAAGTGAAAAAGTCCTTCCAAGACTTGCCTCTAACTCTACAAATTATCCATAATAGACCATTAATCACCTCAGTTAATTCCTTTAGTTCTTCGCATTGCTTAAGAACTTCCTAAGCAAAAGTTTTAGTGCATTTTAAAAAAATGCCAAATAACTTGCACTGCAAGAATGATTCTGCATTATTTTCCAACATTTTTAGCAATACAGTAGAATCTCAATATGCAGAATTTATTAAAATTACATTTTTCATATCATAATACATTTATTATGACAATCATACAGCTGGACTGGAATATTAGTGTTGCAAATGTAAATATATAAATGTAAATCAGGAATCTCAGTTTCAAGGAGATTATCACTGGAATGTAAAATCTCACTTCAAATGGAATTTTGGCAATGGAGCCTTGACATAGGAACAAACCTTTCTATGAACGATGAAAGGGATCCTTGTGGCTTTGCTTTAGTAATGAGCCCAAAAATTGTGCTGCGCTCCTAATTTCTTTGCTTTGGAGAACACCAGGCTCCCCAAAGATGTAGCATAGCCTGAAGCCTGTGCACACGGAACAAATCTATAATTTCTCTTATTGTTTCCATTGGAAAAACAGCTGCTATCCACTGCAGAAACTGTTTCAATACAAACAACGTTAATGGGTTTTAGCTTAGTTCTTCCAAGTCCTAGAAGGTGCTTTCGCCACCACTCATTCCGTGTTGATGATTTTAAGAAAGGAAAGGAGCCTTCCCTCCCCGTGACCTGCACCCCCGGCACACAGCACAGGCAGCCAAGCAGCACGCCCCAGGCAAAATACACAGCAAAATAAAACAGGGCCAGTGGAAATAACCAAATCTAGATTTTAAAAAAGTGCTTTCTAATAAGATAGTACCAGGCTATGAAATGAAAGCCACAGCTTTAAAGGCCATCCCTGATAGTCACGGGTATGCCACTCTGCAGGCCGCTCTAGGAGGTGGTTATGGTCCAGGACAGCCATGCTCTAGTGACAATAACGTTTTGCACTCTCCAGAATAACATATTTTAATATTTACACGAAGAGTCAATTATCTGGAAGGTCAAGGAGAGGGCAGTCACACATATCTGACTGTATTCCCTGTTCTCCAAATAACGACTTCTTGTTCGGAAGCGAGGCAGGGCAAGAATGAAAACTAAGGAGTATTTAGGGTATGATCAAATAGGGTCTAGATGCTCTGATGAGGTAGAACAAATAAGTGGGGCAGCCACCTGCACAGGAAAGAAAAGATCAAAGATCAGGGAAAAATAATCCAGCATCCTGAAGTAAGAAAAAATCAGGATTGAAGCTGAGTCCTGCATAGGCTCTTTGGTTTAAGCTCTAACAGAAGGCCTCAAAGTAACGCAAATCGGTAACAAATCTGCGTTAAAACTGTTCTTTACTATACATGATACTGAAGCTACAAAAAAAAATCAATGCTATGTATCTGCATTTGGAGATTTATGGACATAGTCTCTATTTCAGCATCGATATAACAAAACTGCAATTGAAACAGTGTCTCGAGATTGTGTGTGGTAATTCAAAACATGTGCAAACTTGGCATTTCTTCAAAGAACACTGAAAATCTGATATTGCTTTCTTCTTGTGGCAAAACCAATCTTGGGAGCTGGCCTTCCTTTCATATCAAGCCCCCTTGAAAGTTCTTCTTACTACACTTTAAAGCACGCTCTTGCCAAACACAAGATCCCTATAACGTCCAGGAGGAGGGGCAAAGAGCTGCTTTATAAGTTGCTATGAGCTACTGTTATAAATCTTGTTCTTAAGCAAAATTTGTATTAGTAAATATTAAGCTACTAACTGGAGGGGGGGCACAACTCTTGCAGACATGGACATGTTCTATTCCATCTTCATTCAGCTGCTTTTTCTCTTCTGCTCTTAAGACTGAAACTTCACAGGTCACTTGCATTGGTTCAGGTCACAACAGCCACCTACACTACCACTGAACTTCTTGCCTGTTCATGGAAAAGGCCCCAAAAGGGTGCGTGGAAAACTTCTAGAGATGGATTCTGCAGATTAAATACAAGGAGCAATGAAAAATAATAGATTTCAAATTGAAACACACACTTTTACACAGTGAGCGAACAATTTTTCAAATACTCAATGTGGTTTGTGACCCAGGGCTGTCCTTGTTCATCAGGATACCATGACAGACTTTGCTGGCACAACTCCTGCAGTGTTCCAGCTGAGGTCTGTAAGTCTTGTAATGAAGTGTCCTTTGCCATGCTTAGGCGTGCCCCTCCTTGCTATTAATTTATTTTCAATCAAGCACCTAGTAATCTGTCCACAAGTGTCATGAAGAGTGATGTAAAGAGCCCTGCATCTCTGAAGTCAGGTGCAAGGATGCTTGAATGCCTGCACGCCGGAATTGCCTTCCTTAAATTCCTTCTCACACATTCCGCTGCAGAAGTCAATGTTAGGTTGACTGAGGAACTGCTTCCAACGCCACTTTCTGCACAGTGCAGTGATAGGGCTGTGCACTACTGACCACATGGCACTAACTTGCTGGAGACCTGACAGCAGTTACAGTAAATCACAGCTTAGGGAACGCAGGGCAGAGCAGGTGGCAGTCTGTTTTCTGACGTGATTTTAAGGAAAGAGCAACACAATTATAGGCCGACAGACACGCAGGAAAGTTTCTGAAAGGGAATTCTGTTCAAAATAACTGCTAGCTTGCAGCACACTTCATCTTAAGAGTGTCTCTGGTGTCCATTTCTCCACTTCTTTTGAGATACATGCTATGAACTCAAGATGTCAGAGGAGATGTTTAGGATATCTACCAGGTTTTAATTATACAGGCTGGACAGACAACCGCTTTCCTAAAGATGCACCACTTCTTTCTTCCCACCTCACCCCTTAAAACCTCCTGTATTTGTACCCAAGTGTCCATAAACCGACAGACACGCAGGAAAGTTTCTGAAAGGGAATTCTGTTCAAAATAACTGCTAGCTTGCAGCACACTTCATCTTAAGAGTGTCTCTGGTGTCCATTTCTCCACTTCTTTTGAGATACATGCTATGAACTCAAGATGTCAGAGGAGATGTTTAGGATATCTACCAGGTTTTAATTATACAGGCTGGACAGACAACTCCTTTCCTAAAGATGTACAACTTCCTTCCCCTCACCCCTTAAAACGCTGCTTATAAGGAAAGAAAACAATTATGGCAACAAAAAACTATTCCATACAAAATCACATCAACTGGAGGGAAAGCTACGCAGCAGATTTATAGCAAGACCTGGGTGGTCTCTATATTAGAAAAATACAACTTAGATTCCAAGGGAAGAAAAACAAAGTTGAGAACTCTTTATGACTGGAAAAGCAAATCAGACCAGACTTGGGTTCACCTTTAGCCAAATGCCACATGCATCACACAGATTACAGTACTGCTTATTTGGTCTGACTAAGGGGTGTAGGTTAAACTTTGCCTGGAGGAAAACAGATCTTTCTCCGGGAAGATGAAGAGGGTGTGGATCACAAGGAGCTGCCATCACCTAGCATGGGACTCACTCCCTCGTCACTGCTGTTATTAGGGCTCTTCTGTTTGTTTTTGAAGTCTTTGAAATCCTACTGTGCACACAGTTATTATTACTGCTTAGTTAATGCCAAGCCTAGCATGCCAGAAAGCCCTTGCTAATGCTCACACTCCTGCAGTCAGTTTATATTCATCGGGTCTTTCCCTAAAGACCATTTTACTCACAGTACAGACAGGAAGTTTTAACATTGAGAAAGTAAGAGGCAGGTTACAAAATAAAGAATAATGTTTCCCTCTGTGCTCCCTTTCATCCTCTACATGTCACTGCTGCTTCATTGCCTAATCCCGTATTTAACCACAGCACAGAAATGCTGTGACAGCCACTCCCTTCCCCAGCTCCTCTTTAGTAAGTGACCTCTTTTGTTAGAGCAGTTACAATCACTGTGATTGTGAATCAGTCTATTGTATTCTACTTTTCTGATCAGGTTCTGTAAGATTTCTTTGCTCTAGAAAAGCAGGTTTCTATATGCTCTTCTGGGAAGTTATCTGTAGTGTTACAACAGTCATTAAGCCTGAAATGCAATCTTGAATTCCAGCACTTGGTCTGCACAACCATTAACGATGGTGCTCTTACACTTCAGTAGAATCCTTCAACCAAGGTATGTTAGATAAAAAATAATAATAATAATAAAAAGAACATCAACAAAATAAAACACTAGCAAAGGCTACAGAACATTCAGCAGCAGAGCCTGAAGTAGTATTAAAAAAATGCAGCGCTATATACAGGGGTTTGATATTTAAAGAGAAAGTAAATCCAGCTGCCCCTGCAGAACAGAGAAGACAACATCCCAGGTGCAAGGGCAGCAGGCGGGATGCAGCTTTAGAGGCAGGAGGCTTTAATTTTAAGAATACTTGGTTTCTCCACGACAAAGATCACCTATTTCCTATGTGTGCAATCCTATGGCCCAAGCATGACAGGTGAAATACTCTGCCCATTTCCTCCCAGCGATAGCCATTTTTGCAATTATTATTTTTACTTTCAGTCCATTGAGCACTCCCGCAACGTTCAGCCAAATGTGATTTTTTTCCCTCCTCCCCCCGCCCTTCCAGCCCTTCCAGACTTCAAAGAGCCCAATCCCTGCCCAGCTGGATCGGAGCCTCCAAGCTTTGGGAGGATTTCCCTGGACTCTCCAGGAAATGAAGGTATGAAGAAGCTGTGAAGTTTTACTGGGCATCTTGCAGGGAAAGCCATC